AAGCTCCTGTCCCAGCTCTTCTCCAAGCAACAAATATCCAATTTTCCTTTCTCTATCTGTATATTATCAAATCTTTTCCTTCTCCTCAAAACGTTCCCATCTCCCTTTTTATTACTCTTCTTTATTTTCTTTGGTCCTGCTCTCTGCCTTCATCCCCAGTACTTCTTTATTGCACTCTCTTCTCTTAGGCTCAGAGGCTCTCTGTTCCTCTCTCATATTTATTCCTTCAGGGTCGATAATGTTCTGCTCGGCTCTAACTTCTCCTCTTTGACTTGCACGACTTCCTCTATCTGCTTCTCTTTCCTTCTTTAGCTTCAATCCTCCATCTGCCTCACTGATCAGCATCTTCAACTATAACCTCTTTCTCTTCCATAGAAACAGATTCGTCAGTAATAGTCACTCCACCCAAGACATCCTCCTCGATGGCTACCCCTTCTTCGGTCCCTTCTAGTTCCTGATCATTCCCTTCCACCCTATTGAAAGGAATTTCCATCTCAGCATCAGTAACTGCTGTTACTTTTTCATAACTAGTAACTTCTACCAGTCTTTCCATTTTCTCTTCATTTATGCTCCCCATTCTTGAACCCTTCAACGTCTCTCCACTGGACTCCAGCTTCTCTCTACTGGATCCCAGTTTCTCTGTACTTAACTGCAGTTCATCTGTAGGGGATCTCGAATTCTCTGCAATCATCCTGGGCTCCTCTTCCCTAGATGCCCGCTTCTCTCCCCCAAATACCAGCTTCTCTCCACTTGACTTTAGCTTCTCTCCACTTGACCTCAGTTTCTCTCTACTCAGCCTCATCTTCTCACCACTTAACCTCGGCTTCTCTCCACCTGACCTCAGTTTCTCTCCACTTGACCTCAGCGCCCCCTCACTCTGCTCTAATTTATAGCCTCCAGATCTCATGTCCTCTCCACTGCTTTCCACCCCAGTAGACCTCAAACTCTCTTTAAACCCAGACCCCTTCCTAGAGCCTGATGTCCTTGACCTCTCGAATTCAGCCCCTGTATTGCGTCTGAATCCTTGCTTCCCCCACGTTTCCTTCGAGTTGTCTTTCCCCAAACCAGCTGAAGCCCGTAATGCATTTGCTACATTGTGCAGTAGCTTCAGATCCATCTCTTCCTGACGCAGGCCTGACTTCTCCACATCTTCCAGTTCCCAGTATTCAGACTCATGCTTCGGGTCCCACATCCTAGGCTTTGGCGAGTTTCTATCCAGGAGCTCCATTCTTTTCCCGATCACGATGAGCCCATTCCAGGGCGTCCACATTTTTTCTCGCAGCATATGTGCCCCTCTGCTTCCCGGCTCCAGTTGCAAGCACCCGCGGACCCAGGCCTGGCCTTGGGCGCCCTGACCGCCGGTTTTGTCGCGACCCCTCGCCGCCTTGCGCGGCTTGCTCCGCCGCTCCCTCATGTTCCAGAACGGAAATTCAAACGGAACCTCTTTCTCCACAGACAATACCCCTTGTCCTAGTCTCTAGTCCATCACCACCTCCGCTACCCATC